TGCTCGGCAGGGAGTCTGCTTCTCCCTCTGACCTTCCCCCCTCTCATGTGCTCTCTCTCTCTCTCAAATAAATAAAATCTTTAAAAAAAAAAAAAGCCACATTAAAAGAAGACTTGGACTAAAGACATGGTACAGAAGTCATCTTGAATGATGAAGCGGCTGTGAAGAAATTTCACAAGAAGCTGAGAAACCGATGTCCTGAGAGCACCCAGTATGGGCAGACCAAAGGGGCCATCAGGGGAAACAGACTGCTCATACCCTATCATTTTTAAAACTTTTTTTCCAGCTTTATTGAGATATACTCAACAAATAAAAATTATATTTGAGATGAACAACATGACGCTTTGATATATGTATACATTATGAAATGATGACTACAATCAAGCAAATTAACCTCACATGGTTATGACTCTGTGTGTGTGTGTGTGTGTGTGTGTGTGCACCCTCCCCTAGTATTTAAATAATAATGGTGCTTTACTCATCGTAGACCTGATGGGGGCTTACTGCTTATAATTTTGAAAAAAATAATCTTCTGGGAACAGGGTACATTCTTCTTTAATTTTTCTTTCTTCTTCTCCCCCTGTCCATCTTTGTACCTTAGAGTACCCTTTGGTGGCCCCACCTCATCTCCTGGGCCCTAAACGTTGGTGTGGCCCAGGGCTCTGTCCTTCGCCCTCCATCCCACTCGCTCTGCGAGTGATCTCTTCCAGTCTTAGGGCTTCGGGTCTGTTTACATGCCGAGGGCTCCCCAAATTCGATCTCCGGCCCAGACCTCTCCCTTGTACTCCAGGTTCATCACACAACTACCCATTTAACATCTCTACTTGGGTATCTACTAGGCATCTCGAACTTCCGTTCAGACCTGAAGTCCTCACCTTCGCCCTACAGCCAGGGCTCCTCGCAATCTTCTCCGTCTCAGCAAACGGCTCCCGCATTCACTCAAGTTGCTGAAGCCCAAAGCCTGAGCTCTCCTTGAACCCTCAGTACCCGCCTCAGACCTCCACGGGTGGATGAGCAGCTTTCAGCATGTACCCTCAGTTCGACCTTTCAAATACATCCCGCCTCTGACCACATCTTACCAACTCCGCTGCTAACTTCCTAGGTTAGGCCGCCCTCACCTTTCCCCCGCCACCCCCCACAGCAAGGCCTCCTCACTGGCCTACCCGCTGCCATTCTTGCCCAAGCCAGTTCCTCATTCAGCAACTGCGGTGACGTTTTAGGACAGTACAATCAGGTCATGGCCCTTCCCTGCTCAAAACTCTCCAATGTGTCCCCGTCATGCTTAGGAAAAGAAATCTCAGTTCCTTGCCACGGCCTCCGGGAGCTGGCTCCGGCCTCCGCTCTGGCCTCCGCTCCCGCGGCTCTCCGCTGGCGCGCACAGAGCACCGTCCACCCGATGCGACTCGCTGAAGTGCTCTTTCCCACAGCTTTAAGCCGCAACCTGCTCTGCAGTAATACTAGCCGGGTCATTTATGGCCAAAGCGCTCCTGATACCCGGGCCAAACACCCAACACCCTCACAGAGAGTAGTAACTGCAGCCCGCAGGCTAGCAGAAACTGCCAGGCCGACCGGGGCCGCGGCCTCACCTTTTGAGATAAAGCAGAAGGACTATGATTGTGCCCGCGACAATGACCGGAGTGGCGAGCAACATGCTTATGTAGAACGTGGGGTCGGTGTTCTCACCTGGCAAATGGAAAGCAAACACAAAACGTGAGCAATCAACCCCTCTGAGAAAAAAACACCAAGCAACGGTAGGCTCAAACTAGTGAGATCACAGATACGTCTGCGCTCCGCCCCAACCTATTTTCCAAAACTCTTTGATTATCTTATCTTCCGCTCCCTTAATCGTGAACAACACAGTCCTGCTCTAGGGCCTAAAATGCCGCCCGGAGGAATAAACACCTTGAGGGTTATCCGATACCAGGATATCTTAACTAGTTTTCAGACACTATTCACAATGTTAGACCTGTTAAAAAAGGTCATCTCATTAACCGTGACTACCTTTTCTTATTGGTTACTTATCACTATTAGAACATGTAAATTAACCCTAACTACCACTCCTTCTTAACTGAGCATCTACTATATACGTGATACCATCCCAAGGGCTTGTACATGTTTATATCTATGCAATAGAGATACGTAATAGTATCTCCCATTTATACACATGAGAAGGACAAGGCTCAGAGGGGTTCAATGGCTCGTCCAGAAGGGTTTCGGAAGTGATGCCATCAAGCCTCAAATCCGACACTGTCCAAAAAGTTCCAGAGCTTTTTATTAACTGCCTTGCTATATCTCACACACAGACTGTCATGTCTACTTACATGCTCATCTTTTCCACTAGGGCATGACCATCTAGAAAGCAACATCAGGGCCTAGCATCATTGTGATAGCCTCTAAGGTGACCCCAGATGATCCCTGCCTCCTGATAGTCACACCCGTACATAATCTCCTCCCCTTGAGGATGGGCTGAACTGACAGACTCGTTTGTAAAAGAAATGAATAGCAGCACTGATGTCATTTCCAAGATTAGGTTATAAAAGACTGTGATTTCCACATGGGTGTTCTCTCACACACTCTTGCTTGGGTCACTTACTTGAGCAAGCTAGCTGCCATTTCATGAGGCAGCCCCGTGGGGAGGTCCAAGGGGCAAGACACCGAGGGAGGCCTCTGCATTAGCTCCCTAGGGCTGCTGTGGCAAACCACCACACACCAGTTGGCTTAAAACAGGCATGTATTCTCTCACAGTTCTGGAGGCTAGAAGTCCAAAATCAAGGTATCCGCAGGGACATGCTGCCTCTGAAGGCTCTAGAGAAGATCCCTCCTTGCTTCTTCTTAGCTTCTGGTGGCCCCCAGGACTCGCTGGTGTTCCTGCATCATTCCTGATGGCCGCAGTTGCATCACTCCATTCTCTGCCTCTATCCTCCCAGGGCCTTCTTCCCTGTGTGTCTGTGTGTCTCTCGGTGTTTCTGTGCATCCTCTCTTCTTACGAGGGTACTAGTCATTGGATTCAGGGTCTACTCTAAGACAGTGGGACCTCATCCTAACTTGATTACATCTCCAAAAACTCTATTTCCAAGTGAAGTCACATTCACAGGTATAGGAGTTGGGACTTGAACGTATCTTTTTGAGGGATATGATTCAACCTGCCACAGCCTCCATCCAACAGCCAGCAAGGAATGGAGGCTTTCCAACGACCACAAAGGTGAGCCTGGAAGTGGGTTCTCCAGCCCTAGTCAAGCCTTCAGATGAGGCTGCAGGCCCAACCAACAGCTTGACTGTAACCCCACGAGAGAACTTGAGCCAGAGGTACTGAGCTAAGCTGGGCCCTGATTCCTGACCCACAGGAACTGTGAGATGGTAAATATGTGTCTTTTAAGCCACCAAGTGTTGAGGTGCTTTGTTATGCAACAATTCATAACTAATACAACCATGCCTGGCCCATAGCTTGTTCAGTCCCTCAATTAATAGGGAACTGCCTACCTCAACAATCTGTTTCTCTGACCGTTAGAGAGCTATTAGAAGGTTCTGCAGTTGGCCCTATTTTGCCCCGTGGAGCCACGAAATAAAATAACCTATTCCCTCTCCTACCTAACAACAGCCCAACTATTAGAATTCCGCAATCAGGACTCCTCACCCCTGAGCTTCCTTCATCAACCACTCCTCCCGAAGTTTTGAGATTCTTTCACATCCTGATAGCCCTTTCGAGGCTAGATTCCAGTCTGCCACTGAACCTCCTACAGTGTTGTGCCCAGAATCGAATACCGCACACTTGTGAGGTGGTTGGGACACTGTGTCCCCACCCCGTAGCGCTCCCTTGTTCTGGGTGCTGCACCCTCACTGCGGCCTATGGCTGCATATGCCTTTGGGGGATATTTAAGTCAATGCTGAGTCACTCTGAGCTTACAGTTCAATAAAACCCTATTCCCCCCACCCCACCACACACACACACACACACACACACACACACACACACACACACACATCCATAAAGCATAGGTCTTTCCAATCTTGTACTTGGGCCGGACACACAGTTTGCTCAGCCACTCCATTAATAAATGAAACTGTTGTTTTCAAACCTAGATACAGTTTGATCTCTATTAAATGACATCAAGGTCACTGTTCTACTCTCGATTCTGTCACCAGCACACAGGCTAGCTCTCTAGCATTGCACAATCTGCAGATTTAATCGTGCCTGCCTTCTGATATTTTTGTTCAGGTTGTTAAGAAGATGGAGACAGGACGGAAGAGAGAATAACACCTTTTGGATTGTGGATTTTCAAAGAGCTGTACATTGTGAATTAAACCTGGGTGATTTGACAGTAATTAAACAGAAAATACAGTTCAATTGTAGATATTCTCTGGATGACATCAATAACGCAGAACAATCCTTTACCCCAATCTATTTTCTGCTTCAGCTTAGTTTCCATGCATCAGTCGTTTAAATTTTAATGAAATCCTGTTCTCTTACCTATACTCATCGCTTGACTCCAATTACTCCAGAGTTTGTCATCCTCATAGCATAATTTATTTGTTCTGACTCTTATTCTGACCGTGTTCAAAGTATCAGGAAGAACACCAGGGACCATGAAACAAATTGTACCCTTAGATATAAAATAAAAACACACAGGAATGTTATCAGCTTATTCTCTTTCTCTGCTTCTGAATCCTAAATATAATTATCTGCCAAATTCTGTATATGATTAAGACTTGGACTGCAGTCCAAATTATCTGACTTTAACTCCTCAAATAAAAACTGGCAATAACCCAGAGAATAAAGGAGTCTGTTTTTCTCAAAGCAGTTCAAATTTAGGCTATGGTCGCCCTGCCCCACCCCCAATTATTCTATGACTTTAAGCCCAAATAGCTAAAGTTGAATTTACTGACCTCCAGGTTTCCCTCAAATTCTGAATTCTGACATTTGGCCTCTTCAACCTTGAAGATATAAAAAACAAATAAATTCAAAAAATTTAAGAGACTACATTATATCATTTAACCATTTCTAACAAGGTTCCCTATTATCCCATCAAAAGAGGACCAGGTGCAGTGAAAGAAGGTTTGTTTTTGTTTTTTTTTTTAATAAGTGGTGCTGGGTCAATTACATATCCATACAGGAAAAAAAAGAATCTTGACCCCTACCTCACACTATTTATGAAGTCATTTCCAGATGGACTGCAGATCTAAATGTGAAAGTTAAACTGAATAAACAAATACATAAATACAGCAAGATTTTAGAAGAAAATGTAGAACATCTTCATGACCTTGAAGCAGATTTCTTAAATAAAACCAAAAAATATTAACCCTAAAGGAAAAATTGTTATAAAGTCATCTATACTAAAATTGCAAACTTCTTCTGTTCATCAAAGATATCCTATTAAGGAAATAAAAAAAAAGTCATGTATAGAGTGAGAGAAGTTATTTGCAATTCCTGACAACGGACTTGCATATATACATATCATATAATATATACTTACATTTATATATAATACACACACACATATATACCTATATCCCACCAATTAATAAGGAAAAGACAGACAACCCAACATAAAAACTGGCAAAAGATGTGAACAGGCGTTTCACAAGAGGGTATTCAAATCGATAAGCAACATGTGCAAAAGTGCTCAACTTCATTAGTTATCAGGGAAATGCAAATTAAATCCACAAAATAACAATACACACACCTACCAGACAATACCAAGTATTGCTGAGGATGTGAAGCATCTAGCACTCTCAATTTCTGCTCTTAGAAGTGTTGGTGGGAATGTGAATTGGTGCAGCCACTATGGAAAACAGTATGGAGCTTCCTCAAAAAGTTAAAAATAGAACTACCAGCATAGGGAATATAGTCAATAATATCGTGATAACATTGTATGGTGACAGATGGTGACGCTTATGGTGAGCACTGAGAAATGTACAGAATTGTTGAAAACATATGTTGTACACCTGAAACTAACACCATATGTCAATTATACTTCAATTAAAAAAAAATATCATATGATTCAGTAACTCTACTACTGGGTCTCTGAAGAAAATGGGGGCGCCTGGGTGGCTCAGTCGGTGAATCCTCTGACTCTTGGTTTCAGCTCAGGTCATGATCTCAACGGTTGTGGGATGGAGCCCCGCATCAATGGGAAGTCTGCTTAAGATTGTCTCCCTCTCATTCTCCCCTCACACACGTGCTCTCTCTCTAAAATAAGTAAATCAATCTTTGGGAAAAAAAGAAAATGAAAACACTAATTTGAAAAGATACATGCACTGCTGGGGCGCCTGGGTGGCTTAGTTGGCTAAGTGTCCAACTCTTGACTTCGGCTCTGGTCGTGATCTCAGGGTTGTGAGATCAAGCCCTGCGTCGGGCTCTGCGCTGGGTGTGGAGCCTGCTTGGGATTCTCTCTCTCCCTCCGCCCCCTGTCCCTGCTCACGTGCTCTCTGTCTAACAAAAAGAAAGAAGAAAAAAGAAAGAAAAGATACAAGATATACACACCCCTATGTTTGCTGCAGCGTTATTTACAATAGCCAAGATATGGAAGTAAGCCAAGTGTGCACTGATAGATGAATAGATAAAGATGTGGTATATATATAATGGAATATCATCCAGCCATGGGACAGAAGGAAATCCTACCATTTATGACAACATGGATGAAACTCGAGGGCACTGTGCTAAGTGAAGTAAGTCAGAGAAAGACAAACACTGTATGACCTCCATTAAACGTGGAATCTAAAATGAGCTCATAGAGGCAGAGAGTAGAATGGTGGTTGCCAGGGGCTGGGTGATCGGGGGAAATGGGGAGATGTTGGGCAAAAGGGTATATAAACTTCTAGTTGTAAGCTCTGGGGACCTAATGTACAGCATGGTGATTATAGTTAAATAATGCCACATTGTATACTTGAAATCTGCTTAGAGAGTAGATCTTCAGTGTTCTCACCATTTAAAAAAAGGTAACTGTGTGATGCGATAGATGTATTAATTAGCATGATTGTGGTAATCATCTCAGAAGACATATGTATATTAAGTCATCACGGTGTACACCTTGAAAACAATCACACCGTACAACCCAAATATATATGGTTTTACTTGTCAATCGTACCTCAATAAAGCTGGAACAAACAGTCAACTTCTTTCAAAGAGACGTTTAAACATGAGATGAAGACCAGAACACACAGCGCTGATTTTTGACCTTGAATGTTATTTACTAAATGGTCCCTAGCCGCATCTGTGAGGAGCTGAAAGGCCAACTGAATGATAAAGAGCATCCTGTCGATACTTCATATGCGGCAGAGAAAAAGCCACTTGGGAATCAGAGACCTGGGGGGGAATCCCAAGTACCAACTACCACTTGAGGGATCAGGTTGCAGGTTCCTGTCTCCCTCCCCTGGGCCATCTCCCAGATACATGTACGTTCCAAAACTGGCATATCACTGTAAATTGAAGGTTCTGGGCTCTTGTTCAAACGTAAATTCCCTTGCATAGTTTATCGGCTGCTCAGATAACTCTGTGAGAAAAGGAAAACAAGGGCACAGAGGACTGAGTAGATAGGTCATCTGTGGAGAAGCGGGGTGGTCAAAGGTCGTTCCTTGCTTTGTGATTCTGTCATGAGCGACCTGTGACCAGAGCTCCCATGTGATGGCACCAGGTCATGTCCCAGCCTACTTCCCCCTCTTAACTACAACACCAGGCAAAATAATTCCTAAAAAAATCTTGCAAAAAGGGGGAAAAAAAAGGTCTAACCAGCAGAGCTCAAAATCAGTGAGCACACAAAAAGCTGATGACATTTTAGGAGAGGAAGCAGCTGGTGAACATCTGCTAGGAGAAAGAACATTCAACTCAAATGTATCAACAGAGTTAATTCCAAACAGACTACGGTTCGGATTTAGGAGGATAAATTCCATAGTATGTACATTCTCTTCAGTGCAGAAGTTTGTGGGGAAAAAAAAAGGTAACTCAGTTCAACAAGAGTTTTTTTTTTTTTTTTTTTTAAAGATTTTATTTATTTATTTGAGAGAGAGAATGAGAGAGAGAGAGAGCATGAGAGGGGGGAGCATCAGAGGGAGAAGCAGGCTTTCCGCTGAGCAGGGAGCTCGATGTGGGACTTGATCCCGGGATCCTGGGACCATGACCTGAGCCGAAGGCAGACACCCAATGACTGAGCCACCCAGGCGCCCAGCAGCATAGTTTTTAAATGTCCCCAAATGCCACCATAGAAGACACAAGTAGAAAAGGTAACTAGGGTAAGGAGGGAAGCAACAGCCAAATCCACAGACACAATCTACAACAGAACCGGATCAAGATGAGTCCCCTGTGAACCCTGAAATACAAATGGGTGGGACAAATTCAAGACAGCTACACGAGCACAGTGGAATCAGTTATGGAGCGGTACGGAGAGGTAACCAGCCAGACATCTGATAGATCTGAGAACTCTAAAATAACTCAAACCTCAGCAAGCTAATTTATGAACAACAACTAAGACCGGCAGGGGTTTGCCCTTTCAAATAGTGACTGAGTGCAAGGAGTCCCGTGGTAGAGCCTGGGAGCTGCCTGGGCCCCAAGAACTCTCAAAACCATCCAAAGCTCCCTTCCAGGGCCAAGTCCCACTCTGAGGAGCAACTGGGCACAAAGACGCCACACTGACCCAGACAGAGACGGGGTGGCTCAGTGGGTTAAGCGGCCAACTCTTGACTTTGGCTCAGGTCATGATCTTAGGGTCCTGGGATCCAGCCCCGAGTTGGGCTCCACACTCAGCAGGGAGTCTGCCTGAGATTCTCTCACTCTCACTCTCTCTCCCTCTGCCCCTACTCCCGCTTGCGCGCACACACACACACTCTCTAAAAAAATTCATTAAAACGGCTCTTTTCAATAATCATCAAAACTTAAAAAAAATGAAGGTGGATAAAAATTATTCAAGAGGATGTGACAAATACAGAAGACAGGCAAAGAAAACAAGGGAACAGAGTAAGTGAAGTCTGTAAGTGAGGACATTTTTACTGAAATTAAAAACAAACATCTGAGACTGCATACTGAATGGGTACACCACCTACCTCAGAAATCAAGCCTGGATGACCAACAACACCAAGACGTATTCTGGTAAAATTACTGGACTTGGAAGAAATAAAGCTTTTGACAATCAGACAGAAGAGAACAAGTGTGCATTGGTTTGTTTTTAAAGTAAGCTCTATGCTCAATGTGGGGCCCAAATTCATGACCCCGAGATCAAGGGTCACACACTCCACTGACTGAGCCAGCCAGGCGCTCCAAGACCAAGTATTTCAATACAGAAAATTCCATTGTCAGCAGACTTTGACAACGTTTTATGCCAGAAGAAAATGGATGCCACATTTAAGATACCCAAGGCAAGAACACGTGAGCCGTGGATTTTATATCTAGCTAAAATGACTTTCAATTATTAATGCAGCAGACTCCATCCATGTGTAAATAATTCAGGAAATGCTGGTCCCATGAATCCTCCCTGAGAAAATGTTTAGAGCTTCGAACAACCGAAGTGACTGGAGAGACATGAACATGAAGACTGGTAGTGAGCATCACGTATATATGGCCACCTAGACGGAAGAGCACACGAGGGCTCCAAGGGAGACACCGTGGTATAGCACAGTTACCCGCGCGGACAATGCAGACACCGGGCAACTTCAAAAAGGGAGAGAGAACAGGGAGAACATAGAGAAAAACGGCTCTTTTCAATAATCATCAAAACTTATTTTATAATTTGTCAGAAGTTCAGAAATTCCTTCAGTTCCACCTGTTTCTCATCCATTAAATTCAAATAAAATTAAATATGAGCACTGTATTAAAACATATCCTATGACTGCCTCAGAGTCTAGACTGGAGAATCAGGATGCCTGGGTTCAGACCCCGCGTCTGACTCTTGTCCGTTAAGTTTGGACCCTAGCTCTGTTGTGTCCTCGCACTGGAACCTGGAGCAAGCTACACCTACTCCCCCTCTGGTACCTCACCTTCTTCATCTGTGTGCTGGAGATGAG